GTAGTTATATATATATATATATATATATATATATATATATATATATATATATATATATATATATATGTATATAATGTATGTATGCATATGAATGCATGTGTATGTATACGTATCTATACGAACATAGCTAAGGCCGGAAAGGCTATGGGTTTTCTGAGTAACAACACACTGATTGCCGAGGGCCAATTTGGGAGGAAAAATATGCGACCAGTACACTCACAAGTCGAATACTTGTAGGATCATGTATATATAATCAAATAAAGTAAATTATTTCAGTGAAAGATTAAAACTGGCATCGTTCTACTGTGTGAGATTATTATCTTCATTTAATTATTTTTGAGTATTTTTATGACATTGATTCGTGCAATGCCAACCAGTTTCAAATGCCAACCAGTTTCAAATTACTGATTATCATATACACGAATTCAACGTTCTCTATTACCTACCTGAGGTCGAGCCCCTTAATTACGTACTATTTCACTACAATGCAATGATGCTTGTAAAAATTAACCACTTCCGTATATGGTGCTTTTGAGGTTCGCTTACCATTTATGCGTTCACTATGCATTCTTGTGTATCGCATGCAATCATGAACAGTGGACTGACGTCTCATCATACAGCCTTTCACGTTTCTTTGCCGTCAGGATTTCCATACGTATTCGTCACCAATGGGGGGGGTTCCACCGAACAGAAAAAGGCTCATCAGCTCAGTGAATGGCTAAATATAGACGTCCCTGTGGAAAAAGGTAGTAGCTATCATGTGTAAAGTTGGACTTAGATTTACCTGAGGGGTAGGACGGATCTGGAGTGAATAGCTAAATATAGATTTAAATACCTGCAGGGCAATACAAGAAGGATATCTTTTGTATACTCTTTGGTTAATTTTAGACTATAGGCAATGGCTAGCTATACATGTGTATGTGCGAAGAAGAAGAATAGACCCAATTGGAGCAGGTAATGTTCGAGCTGTACCCTTGGTGCTGACAGACATGTCAGTATACTCTCAATAGGTATAGCCTAAAGTGTGTATATTTATGGCATAGCAAGTGAGTTGATTTATGGAATATAGAGGATTTGGAATTTGTCGAGCATTTATCCCGAAAACTCATGATCTTCTAGAAAATACCTCTCTCTCTCTCTCTCTTATAGGGACATTTGCTCATCTGTATTTTACGTCTGAGAATATGCAACATAAGATAGTGGGCAGTATGAAACGCCTTATATAAAGCTGCACTAGGTGCTAGTCGATGGCTAGTACTATCAAGTAGCCTGTGGGTGCTGGTTAAGCGTACATTCCGTATGTGCGAGTGATTATATGGTATTAATTTAGGATAAGCCATACATATGCTGTGTCGATATAGATTTTCCACAGGTATATTCTTCTAGTATAGATTGTGGCATAAGCGTATTGTTTTGGCATAAATTGTGCCACATATATATATATATATATGTGTGTGTACCACTGTAGCAGAACTTACTAGCTTCAAAGAGTCCGTAGGTCTTGTACATGAGATCGATATTCTCAACCATTTGTTCCCAAAGGCAAAGTGGCACTATCGAAACTGTCAGTGTACTGGAATCTATGTCATACAACCTGTCCGAAGCAAGCAAGGCTGATACACGCACGGCACTTGTCGCACATGTTGTATGTGTCGACCACGTAAACGCTTTCTCGGTTGATCAAGACAACTAGACCCACAAGTATCGGACGATAGTCAGAAGAAAATACGATATGCTCACCTCAAATATACACGTTAAACACAATGAATTCCCGCCCAATGCACGTACTGTTATATCAGCGCATACGCCAGTGGTGTACTCTAACAGCTGTGCAACAATATACTGACGGCATCTCTGAGCTATCGGTCAAGATATTCATTCCCGCATATAGCGGACGATAGTCAGAAGGAAGAAGGAAGTCTATTTTCATACTAGTATAGACATAGATTCATGGTTATAGTATATACGCACGCTCCTACTAAAATATACCCTTGTTCATTCTGATCGTTAACATACAATTCTCAGTGATCCTTTCGCACACGCCGATGCGGAAATATACCAACCTCTACGACAAGAACGTGTTGTTAGTAGGTCAGGGTCCACTGCAGGAGATTGCCGCCAATTACGGCTACAAGAACACGTGGACGATGGAAGATGTGGTCAAGGCATACCCACTTCTACATGTGATGGACAAGGTATGCATGTTCAATATTGCAGAAACTAAGGAATACGGCTCCAGTTAATGTATCGATATTAAAATTCAAAAATTATTACTTTTATTAATAATAATACAATAATCATTATTCATATTTTTATTTTTATTTGTTTTTGGCATTCTTCTTTTTCTTCTCCTCCTTCTTCTTTATTATTACTTTTATTAATAATATATCTATGTATATGTATATGTATATAAACATAAACATACATTC